CCCCCCTCAAAACTTCTACTAATGACAAAAACGCAAAAATTAAATAATGAATAATGATTTTTTATGAAAAGAATTTTACTTAGATAAAATTGACCCCAGTTGAGTCCCTTTTTTTCAACAAGAAGCCCAAAAAGTTTATTTTTTTCCTCTGCTGGCAAAACTGAGCCAAGAATACAAAAATTATAAATGCTGACCCAAAAAAGAAAATATTTTTCGGCTTTTTCGGGAAATTGCGGTTCACCAAATAAAAGTAATAATATTAGGACAAGACCCTTATTATTTGCCGGAAGTGGCTGATGGTTTAGCATTTAGCACCCAAAGACCTAATTATATACCAGCCAGTTTAAACAATATTTTTTTGGAATTTAGCAGAGATCTTAATTGTTCGCAACCTCTCAACGGAAATTTACTTCCCTGGGTCAAAGAAGGTGTTTTTTTACTTAATACGGCCTTAACAGTAAAAGAATGAAAAGCCGCTTCTCACATGGATTGATGAAAAGAGTTTGTCTATTCTCTAATAACTTATCTGAAAAACTATGAAGAAAAATTAATTTGAATACTTTGAGGAACGCCAGCCCAGCAAATTGCAAAAAAATGTCAGATCAATGAAAATCGTAAAGTAGTTGGGGTTCACCCTTCTCCTCGTAGTGCTGATCGTGGTTTTTTTGGTACACGTCCTTTCTCTAAGACTAATCAGTTATTATCTGAATCGGGCAAAGAACCAGTTAACTGATTTTCTATTCTGTCCCCGAAATTGGAAAAATAGACATGGATATTTTGTCGTAGACCAAAAATAGGCCTGATACTTTGCTGAAAACCAAAAAAAAGCAAGAACTTTTGTCTAATAAGATCAAAAATGCTGCTTACTTTTTTCTTATCTTTGTCTAATTTAAAAATTCCTATCTTTTTTTCTTTTTAGTAATAAATCTAATAACTAGAATAAACAGAGCACCACCTACCAAAATAAGAGCGCCAATGCTTACTATTTTCAAAATAGTGTTTTCTTGAGGATTAATTTGTCCGGAATTGTTATCTAATTTAATTGAACTCTCATTGATTTCTCCCACTGCTACTTTATAAAGATAATCGTTTATTTGGCTATCAGTCAGATCGGCATTTTTTTCCAGCGAATAATGTTTTCTAATTTTCGCATCCTTATTTTTTTTATCATCAGCATTTAGTTGGTCGTATTCAAATCGTTTAATAATAGTAATTACTTCTTGGGGTGATTTGTTGGCAATCAAATTGTTAAGGTCAGAAGTCGAATGTTTGGAGGAGATTTCGGTTAAAAAATTATTGTTGTCCTTAACACTTTCCAGTAAATTTTTTACTCCCTCGGTCGTATTGAAAGAACCTTTTTCTTGTTTTCATTCATTTATTTTTTCGTCGGTGAAAGATTGTTCCAAATTTCCGTCAACTGCTTTCAATTCCTCTCTTCAATCACTAGGATTTTTGTCGGTATCATTTGAGTTTTTTTGACCTTTATCGGTGGGTTCTTGGTT